GGTGCTCCAATTCTAACCGTTTTTATTCTTATTTTTGTGTGAGTTTTCGGAACAGACACGACCATTAAAGAAAGGTAAAAATAATGGCCTATGAAACGAGATTAACGTTTCCATCTTCTTTCTGGGTACCTGAAACTGGCAAAGGAAAAAAATGAAATTAGTCATCAGCACTCTTCTTCTTCGCCTATTTCAACATGATCTATTAGCTCCAAAACTTTGGATATTTATAAGTTCAAAGGAATACAACATTAGTGTTCATTGTGATATGCCTCGACACATATACAAAGTGGTAGGGTATTGCATTTTAAACTCTGAAATTTATCTCCTTATTGATACCCCGTAATAGCAGAGCAATGAAATTAGGTGTACTCTGTTTTAAGAATATGTTAAGAACGTACCAAACCTAAGACTAAAGGAAAGCATTTTTATTCATTTGCATCGAGCTAAAAACAGGTAGTAACAGCGTGAACTTGTATTGTAACTAGCAGAGTTGGTTGCCGCGGAATACTTTAAATCTACGCTACAAAAGCATCATACTCTTTAAGGAGTGTATGCCTAATTTCATTGTTCTGTTTTCACAGGATAATTTACTTGAATTGAATCCACCTCAATGGAAAGATTAAGTTCGAATGACTTAGGTGATTGAACACAATGGAACCCAAACAATTTGAGAATCGATTTGTTTGTTTTTATAGTCGACTCCAATCACATGATTGTGTTCTAGTTCAATGGTTAATCGAACGTTCGATTTGGTTCGAGTAGTTACTTTTGTTATTAAATTTGCATTTCGACCAAGTTCATATATATGAATGTTATGCTTTTTTACTGATTGACCTTTGAGAACATACACCTTTTTGCTTGTGTGCGTAAGTTGAAAAAGGCAAATTTTGGTCAACCCTTAATTTTCATTGTCAGTGATTGGTTTAACTGGTACGTCGTCAGAACACTCGCTAAATACAGAAACCAACACTCAGCTCTCGAGTCAAACTCAACATCAACTTTTACGCTTATCATCTTATACAAATTAATAAGTTAATAAGGTTTAGAGCTTACTGACATCTTGCATCTTGCCATCTTGACTCAAATCCTCCGTGCAAAACTCCACTGTATATTTAATCATGTTATTCCTGAAAAGAAAACGAGACATTCTGTATTTTGTATTTCTGTATTCTGGCGGGGTTAATAAGTCGTGCAAAGTGCCTTTGGCAAGTCAACATCTCTAAAATTTCCTTCCACTCATACTTTTACAGGGTGGGATGAAATTCAAAAACTCCGCTTGCCCTTTGGGCAAGCTGTATTTTCATCTTATTAGCCCAAGTCTCTGAGGAGCTAGCCCAAAAAACTGAGTTTGAACTAACAGCTGACTTAGAGGCACTTTACTCCCAAATGGCATAGCAGCTGACTTTTTCTTCATATAAAGAAGTTTTCATACAAGAATCTGAGAAAGTACTGCAAATTTAAGCTCTTTTAAATAACCCAGTCGAAGTTTTAATTTGTGCATAGGGAAAACAATAGATCAAATTACTTTACACAAAGTTATCG